GGAGGGGGGTTGGGGGGGGGCTTTTTCTTTTTTTCCCCCCCTGGGAAAAGGGGGATTTTTTCCAAGGGATTTAATTGGGGTAACCCCGGGGTTTTCCCCTCCCCGCTTTTTTAAAAAGGGGCCCGGGGATTTTTTTTTCCCCCCCCTTTGGGGGAAATGGGGCCCTTTAAATCCATCTTCGGGGGCCCCCCAGTTTGTGGAAAAAAAGGCCCCCCCCGGGGGGGGGGGATTCCCCTTTTCCCCTAGTTTTTTTGGGGGGGTTTTAATTTTGGGGGTTCAAGGGAAAGGGGCGGGGTTCCCCCCGGCCCTTTTTTTGGGGTTTTTGCCCCTTAAAAAAACCCTTTTTTTTTTTTCCAACCCCCTCCTTTGGGGCCCGCTTTTTTTGGGGGCCGCCCCCCCCCCCCCCCCCCCCCCCCAGTAGGTGCGTTAATTCGTTTCGGGGGTTGTAGAAATGTATGCATTCGTCAATACCAAACCACATTTTGTTAATATTAGTATTCACACATTTTTTTGTTTTCTCAGTCCCCATCTATTCTTGGAACCACACGCTGCTGTTTACCCAAAAACGCTGTGCAAGAAGTTTGATTGATTACCTCAGACTTTTTTGTTGCTCGTCGTGTGTTGCGCGTTGTGTGCATAAATGTATTCGACAAGGTAACCACCCCGGAGCTTAAGGGCCTCTGCAAGGGGAAGATGTTCAGCCACGTCGGGAAACGCACGCCTGTCGCCGTCCGCTTCTCCACGGTAAGAGCCACAGCTACATGCATGCAAAACCAGCTGCTTGTAGATTGATGGTATGCATACAACAGAATATTAGCGTCTCTACGTTTTAGAGAGGGTGTGGGGAAAATCCGAAAAAACCTCTCTCGAGTCCAATTTTTATCCTAAACCGAAGTAGTCAACAGTACGTTTTTGTTTTGGAGTGGAGAGTGTTCGAGGAGCCTTTCGTGTGGCATCAAGTAGCTCTCGACTTGTTCAGAGCTGCGTTCGACCTATGGAACCGGGTCAATATCGCTGGTTTGTTCCCTGAGGAGCCCTCTTGTTGGTCTCGTAACCTCAAGAGATGAAAGGCCGTTTGGTTAAAACACAGGTCTTGATTTTATGCAGGATTGGCCTCGACGAGACGGTCCAGATGTCATCGTCACAGAGTCACGCCACCTGTTTCTTAGAACGGGGCCTGGTGTGTTGTTTTTTTGCTCCAGGCTCGCTGTTATCTGGTTGAGTTGCATGCATGCGACGTGATGCATACGGATGCGATGGTACGGTAAAAAAAGTACAGGGTCTTGCAAGTCTGGCCATCACACGAAGAGCAAAGTCACGCCACAAAACGGACCGCAAACACCAAAACCTTTTAAATTTTTCAAACGTACAGCGGTAGCTTGTCCATGAGGCGAAACGAATAAAGCCGGAACACATTTGACCCCGCAGCAGCAAAAAACTGATGCCACTGCCATTCATTTTACCGGTAGCCTTCGCAGGCTGTTCCGTATTAATTTTAAGTGAACAGGATGGATAAAGCATGAAATCGGGGAAGTTGGGTTAGGGTTAGGGCTAGGGCTAGGGCTAGGGTTAGGGCTAGGGTTAAGGATATACGGTCTACGTACCCTCGTGCATGTTCTATTTCCTCATAATACTTCACTTCTCGCGAAGGCGATCCTTTTTTACTGTATAATAGTGTAGTCTGCCGTGACGGGGGCGCCCCGGCACGAAACTGATGTCACTGTCACTGCTGCTGCTGCTGCTGCTGCTGCTGCTGCTGCTGCTGCTGCTATGTGTGTACCGTGTGGGACTGATTTCGGCGGCGGGGGGGGGGCGGGGGGGGTAGGTGGGAGGCGAGAGCGGTTCCGCAGACACGGCGCGGGACCCCCGTGGTTTCGCCGTTAAGTTCTATTCGGAGGAGGGCAACTGGGACCTGGTGGGCAACAACACCCCCATCTTCTTCATCCGAGACCCCATCCTATTCCCCAGGTAATGAATGCAGAGAGTCTGTGTGTGTGTTTGTGTGTTTGTGTGTTTGTTGTTTGAGTCGACCGCGGTAGTGTAACCGGCTGAGCAAGGAAAACACGTCAGCGGCTGTGGGTGTGTATAGAGAGGGAGAGGGAGAGACGGAGAGAGACTGATGGCCTTTTTTTTTGTCAGCACGATTCTGTAATTTTGTACCAATCCTTTCTAGTATTTTGTATTCGACGGCTGACGTCTTCTTCGTTGCTGCTGCTGCTGCTGCTGCTGCTCCTGCTCCTGCTCCTGCTCCTGCTCCTGCTCCTGCTCCTGCTCCTGCTCCTGCTCCTGCTCCTGCTCCTGCTCCTACTCCTGCTCCTGCTGCTGCTGTTCTTATGTGCCGCCGTGTCAACGCCACATTGTAGCTTCATCCACACGCAGAAGAGGAACCCGAGGACTCACCTCAAGGACCCCGACATGTTCTGGGACTTCATCTCGCTGCGCCCGGAAACGACCCACCAGGCAAGCATGGCTCCCAGGCCCCGAGAGTAGTTTATTGGCGTGGATGCATGGCGGCGTTATTGTCGTGAACGGTTTTTCGGGGTCCCAACTTCGGTTGCCTCGTCGCCAACACCTCGACCGAGAAGGGATGAATAATTATCGCTTGGAAGGACGTTCGTTTTTTTCTAACCCTGTTTGTGTTGGGGGTATCGGTGCACACGTGCCCTTGAGAGCGGCGCCGGCTTTGACGTTTGGCTCGTGTGCTTCAACTCGGCCCCCCGATAACATTTTTGCGGTACGCCCCGCGAGCACTCCCGCTGCGCATCGGTTGGACGTACGCTCGTCCTATTTTTTTTTTGTCGTCGTGAAGCGGGCAGATATCGATCAAGTAGAAGTAGACACAGAGGGAAGCAAGCACACCTAGTCGTGGAATCGAGGGAGTGCCTTGTCGCCCGCGCAGCAGCGTCCTCTTGTTGTGTCGTCGTTTCTCTCTCATGTTCTACTTTTTTTTTCTTGTGTGTGTGTGTGTACTTCTATGTGTTTTAAATGTTCTTGGGCAGGTGTCGTTCCTGTTCTCTGACAGGGGCACGCCCGATGGTTACCGACACATGAACGGGTACGGCAGCCACACCTTCAAGAACGTCAACGCACAGGGAAACGCGGTAAGGAATGAGAGGTCGGGGGAGGAACAGCCTTGTACGGAAGGCCGGAATGTTTTTTTTTTTTTTTGAGATGTCGGGCTCGGGTTGGCGGTTCCGTGTTTTTGTGCGTTGCTTTTTTTGTTTAGCTTCAAGTCGCGTGCGTTGTCGTTGTTGTTGAGTTTGATCTGTGGTATTCGAAATGCCTTTTTTCTTTCGGTGAGGAAAAGATACGCGCCCGCTGTACGACCCTTCCTATTCGATGCCACCCCCGTCAACGTCCAAGGAAGTCGGAGGGACGTTGAGATTTTGATTTTTGATGAAAGTAGGCAGACGCGCACAACAGACCCGCCGTACCTGGAGTAAGGCGTGGTGAGCGCAAAGCCCAAGAGGAAAAGATGAGCAAGGACAACAATTCCCCCGCGAAGAAATGGGACAAAATAAGGTTTAACGCTCGCGCTAAAGCAACCCACTGCTGTCGTGGCGTTTGGCGGCGGTGCCTCTTGTTCGTTTGTCTTGATGCGTCGTCAAAATGACGGACGGCACGCGAACCAGACGAGTACAACAGCCGTACGGCACATCGCTTCGTCCGAGCGTTGTACTGTAGAGATGCGAGGTCAAATCCATGGTGTGTACCGACTACAATACGGCATGCGTTTTCTACAGTACACCGCCCCCCCCCCCCATACCGCTGGATACCTCACGGCGCTTCGGGCTTGGTGATGTGAGAGCCTGATCCGGTGAGAACCCGACATGCTCCGTCCAGGCATTGTAGGGATGCGAGGTCAATGGTCCAACGACTACGGCACGCGTTTACATGAGTACTCCCCCTAAACAACACACATCGCCTCATTGTCGCTTTCATCGTCGCGTGAAAAAGGTCTGGGTGAAGTACCACTTCAAGACCGACCAGGGAATCCGCAACCTTCCCGCCGGAGAGGCCGACGTGATGCAGGCTACCAACCCCGACCACGCCATCCAGGACCTGTACAACGCCATCGCCGACGGCACCCCCCCTAGCTGGACGGTTTACGTCCAGGTGACCTGCCCTGCTGGTACATCCTACTTCAAGCGCTGCTGTGCCGTTTGATGGCGGGGTGTTGTTGGCTTGACATGTATGCGGCGTTTTTGGTGGGTTTTGGCTTGACATGCATGCGGCGTCTTGTTTTTTTCTTGGCGGGGTTTGTTTGCCTTGAAGTGCCTTGGTTTTTGCTTTCTTTGGTCTAAAGCGAGATTTGTTGTGGAAACATGTCTGAGACGAAAATGATGCCAGGACACATAATGGAAACAGGAAGAAAGCTACGCACCGTATGCTGTTTTCTAAGGATCCTGCTATTTTAGCCTGTACTTTTTATGCGTGGGTATATGTGAACTGGTTTGGTTTGGTTTTGTGGAAGCAACAGGCATAGATTCACGCCTCGCACGCCTCTGACCATTTTTGGTGCTCATACATATTTGATTTTTTCTTGTGGCTTCAGGTTATGGGCCTCGAGGAGGCTGCTCGGTGCAGCTTCAACCCGTTCGACGTGACCAAGGTCTGGCCGCACGCCGACTACCCGCTCAGGTAATTCACCAACCACACAGCAAACTCTCGAAAGTTTTTTTTTTTGCAGCAGGTGTTCCTGTCTTCGATACCGATGTTTCGCTTGTGGAGGAGTCGGAACAAAAAACGCGCGGGCAGATTTTTATCTGAGCTGTGTGGTGGGACCCTTTGCTTGTTGTCGCACACCGGCTGCAGTTGCTGGTTGGTTCTTTGTCGCCTTCAAGTCTCGCCGCTCTCTCCGGTTTCTTTTGGTCGGTATCTGAAAACTCTCCTTGCCTCTCCCTCTCGTCCCCCCCGCCCCCCCCCTTTTTTGTTTGGGGTTTTTGTCTTGGTGGCGTTATCCATTGCGTGGCGCAACGGCTCCAGGGAGGTCGGACGCATGGTCCTCAACCGGAACCCCACCAACTACTTCGCTGAGGTGAGGTTGGACGTACAATAGCAGTAGTATGCATACCAGAACGCAAGTTTTTTTGTTTGTTTTCGCTTTGTTTTGGGTCAGCTTTTAGCCCTTTGAACTGTTTTTTTGGCTAGAGGCCGAAAACAAATCGCCTTCGTGGTGTTTTTGGGCATAGACCGGAAAAAAAATGCACTGGAAGTCAAACCACCCACACCAACAACAAGCAAAAGTGCTGGGAGCGTGTGAATTGCTGGCGGTGAAAAGGGGTGGTTGTCAATGGCCACGGTATTTGTTGACGCTGTCGGCAGGGCTCCGCATGACGTTCTGGACATGTATTCTCTTTCAATCCCATCGTTACACATATCGACGCTCGCTTGCAGTTTCTAACGGTCTCCCTTACCCCAATGTAGAACTCCGATCTAGGGTCACGCTCACGTTAGCATAGTTCCGCTGGCCATTGTTCCATGTCGTGCGTGTTCTTCGGGTGTTGTCATCGTCCTACCCTGAACGCGTGATTCGTGTAGGAAGTAGTCCTGTTTTCCGTAGGTTACGCTAAGGAGGTTGAACGAAACGCCATCCTGCTGCCACTGTGAAACCCGGGCATACAGGTGGAGCAAATGGCGTACGCTCCGTCCAACATGATTCCGGGAATCGAACCCTCTCCGGACAAGATGCTTCAGGTTTGTGTTTGCGTGCTCATTTAGTTACTTGTTTTTTTTTTTGCAACACGACTACGCGAAGCTTCAGCTTTCGCCCCCATCACGGGTCCCCGAAACCGTGTTCGTGCTGACCAATCAGCGCGTTACACGTGCATGTCATTCTTGCTCTGTTTGAGAAGATGGCATGCATAGTCCCCCGTTGGCACGCCGTTTTGTATTGGTCCATGATGTGCGGTAATGCACAGCTACGCCCTAAAGTATGCATCGCACCGCGCCATACCGTTATAATCTGCACCACGCACCCTATTTAAGAACACCAAGAACGAGAAAAGCCTGCCTTAAATACCCTATTTAAGTATACGCCAAGAAACGGAACAACCTGCCTTAAAAACCCCGTTGAAGTATGCCAAGAAACCCGAATTATTGATTATTTTAATATTTGCACCTCCCCGTGGCCTCGCCTCGCACCGCGTGCTCCGACAGGGCCGCCTGTTCTCGTACAACGACACTCACCGCCACAGGCTGGGGGCCAACTACCAGCAGATCCCGGTCAACCGGCCGTTCAACGCCAAAGTGCAGCCCTACCAGCGCGACGGTGAGTCGACCTGTTTATGCCTACCGTAAGTTACATGACGTACGATACCACACCCCCAGGACCGATTTTCAAAGCTCGACTACTCCACAGGGCAGTGCCGAAAACTGCTATTCGTTGGAACCGTCTCGTCGAGAGCTTTCTGTTAACGTGTCGTTTGACTTGTACATCGTCGTCGTGGGGTAGCTGATCTTTGAAGATCGGTTTAGGGGGTGTGCTATCTTACGTCACCAACGGTATCAACAGTACCGACCGACCGACAGGTGCGCCTGGTTGTCGGCGGTTAGCCAGTTCGCTGAGCGGTCTTGTTTTTCACCAGTGTGTCGTGGCATGTAGTCGTTGTTTTTGTCGTTGGGATGCACGTGCAGATAGATGGTCGGGCGTTGTACATGGCACACACGTGCATGTTTGTGGGACGGGAAAAAAAGTGGACAGTTATCCTCGTTGTCGTCCTTGTCTCCGGAAGAAGATGACGCCATGGGTGAGAAGCACAAGGTCCATCAAGAACCTTTCAGACGGATACGGCGGGTGCCCGACACGTGTACAGTACGCACAAGCTTGCAAGAGCCATGAAGCCATTATACAATTAAGACGGAGGCGGAAGCTTTTGCTCCTCAACAACCCACGTGTCGTCGTTCGTTGAGAGACCGACCGCCCCCCGGGGTAATGTACAGCAAGGGGGGCGCCGAAAAGTACCTTCTCCGTACGTTGCCTTCGCTCTTTTAGCCCCTCTGTTCTGCCTGTGGGTCTGTTTAAGTATTCTAGTTGGTCGGGCCTGGTGTAAATCTCATTCTGATGTGGCGTGGCACCCTCTGATTTCTCGTGGTATCCCCCCCCCCCCACTCCCGGTGTTTGCCATCGGGGTTGGGTTTTCGTCGCTTGGCAACGACGTTGTAAAACAAGCCCCCCACTCGGTGTTCGCCATCGGGATTGGGTTTTCGTCGCTTGGCAACGACGTTGTAAAACAAGCCAATTCACTTCGTGAACTGGGCAACCAGGTTACCCTTTTTTTTTTTTACCTCGGTTTTTTTTTTTTGGCGGTAACCATAATGGTGGTCGAGTAGATCATGTTGTGCGGGGTCGAGAAACCTCACTCCGCGCAACGGGGGATGATCGCACCACGTTGTGTTAAAATGGTCAAGCTTCCTCGAGGCAGTTACACAGTGCTTACAACTGTCTCTGGAAGTGAAAGCACCAGAAAATAAATTAAGTCATACGTAGCTGTCATCCGTACGCAAGGAAGTAAGCACAAGATGCCGAACACCCTTAGCAGGATGCAGCTCACCCTTCATGCGACTCGCCAAATACCTCACGGCGCTTCGCGCTTGGTGATGTGAGAGCCTGGTCCGGTGAGAACCCGGCGTGCTCCGTCCCGGCTTTGTAGGGATGCGAGGTCAATGGTCATACGACTACGGCATGCACGACTATGAGTACACCCCCCCCCCCCCATGTTGTGCTGCGTGCCCTCCCGCGGGGACCCCGAAACGTCCCGACTGAACCACCCTCGCTGTCGTCGCTTCCTCTGAAAACGAACACCTGTTAAGATTAAATAGCGCTAATCCATCATGGATTAGGTAGCCAGCGGCTGACTGATTTGTCTACTGGATAATTTAAGCCATTATCTGTACCAAAAGATGTGTCCTTTGGCACGTGACCTCCCTTAGCCTGTTCCATCCAACGCTCTCCTCTCCCGCGTTTCTTTGCCTCCGCCGGCGGGCGCGTTTTCAGGGCCCATGCGCGTGGACGGCAACATGACCGACGCCCCTAACTACTTCCCCAACAGCTTCTCTGGACCCGCGGCCGCGGACCCCTCCCACGCGGGCTGGCACGCGGAGAGGGCCACGGGGGACGTGGCTCGCTACCCCACCGGAGACGACGACAACTTCACCCAGGTGCTCGCCTCGCTCTGATGCTGCTATTGTCGGTTTGTGTTTGAAGGTTGCCGCCGTGCTTGCTCTCCTCAAGGGTCTGTGCGTCTGTCGAACCCAACTCTTTCTCTCCTTCCGCTGCTGCTGCTGCTGCAACCGAGTTGGTCAGAAGGTGTTGATGTTTTGCGGCCGTGCTTGCTCTCGCCAAGAGCCAGGGCGCGGCAAGTATGGCCCCTTTTTTCGCTGGTGTTGGCTGCTGCTGTAGAAGACGGCCTTGCGGCAGTTTCCGGGCTGGGCTGCTGTGTCAAGCATGCAGAAATTGTTTTGCTGGTGTCGACGGTTGTGTGCCGCGGTGGGCCCTACATATTCATGAAAAAAACGCCCTGTAGTGGGCACGCGCCCTACTCAAAGCGTCAAACAACTTCGCCAGCTTTACCAGTCGCCCGCTCTACCATTGAGGACCCAAAGGTGCTGTATAGCCCGGTTTGGCGGCTCCAGCGTTGGCTTCGAAAGGAAAGCAAGCTTTTCGTAGGAGCAAAGCAAGCATTTCGTAAGAGCAGCAAGCCCTTCGTAAGAGTCAAGCAAGGCCTTCGTAAGAAAGGAACACTTGGATATATATGTGGTCGTGAGCGGCATCGTATCTCCATGCTATTTTTGTGGTACCACTGTTTTGCTGCTGTAGGCGGGCGAGTTCTTCAGGCGAACCCTAGACGAAGGCGGGCGGCAGAGGCTCACGGACAACATCGCCGGCGCTTTGGTGAGTTTTTTTTTTCGTTTTTTGTTATCAGGTTTCCACGTCTCGCGCTAGCCCCCCGGCAATCCTTGTTGCGGTGAGCCCATGCGAAGCTAACTACTGTGTGAGGGTCATTCACAGTACGTAGCCAGACGACTTGGATTTTTTCTGTAGTTGTGGTTGCGGTGATGGTTGTCGCGTTAGAGAGGTTGCGGTGCTCGCGCCGCTGCCGCCGACGGTGCGGTACCCCCTCGCCTTCCTTCTCTTCGTGTTGCCGTTTTTCGCCCCGCCGCCGCCTCCCCGCCGCCATCGTCGGCGAATCATGGCCCGGACTTGGTGGGCGGTGATGTTTTGGTGGATTGCGATCATAAAACCTGAGCAAGGAAACCAAACTGTACCAAAAGAAACGTGTCATGTGTGAGTTTTGTCGTCACTTGCCATCGGCCTTCGGCTTAAGCCCCGCAATTTTCCTCGGGACGGCCGAGTACGCGTTTTTTTTTTTTTGCGTCCTTGGCACTATTTCCCCGGACACGGGACGAAATGGTTCACCCCCCCCCCCTCCGCCCGCCCGCCCTGACTTACGTGTGAACGCGTCCTGTGCGTCTCGGCCTCGGGCAACGTTCGCAAAAACGAAAACAGTCGGGAGCCCAGGAGTTCATCCAGAAGCGCGCCATCGCCAACTTCGCCGCTGCCGACGCGGACTACGGACGGCTCATCTCCGAAAAGGTGAGGAGGGATCCTTATCCTTACCCTTACACAGCTGGGGGACGGGGGATGAGTTGGTCATGATCAGGTTTTTGCGGGAATGTTTAGGCCTCGCCCTGGCAATCTTGACAATCGTGTGCTATTGATGTCCAGCTATTATAGTTGATTCCGTCATAAAGGAAGAAACGAATCCCAGCGGCCGTTGGCAGGTTGAAGTGGTGTTTGTCTCGCGGACTCTACGGGCGGCCTTACGCCTTAGGCGAGGGACGGGATGAGGTAGTCAGGATCAGGCTTTGCGTGAATGTTTGGCCATTTTGTATATGGGCCTCGCCCTTGGGTCTTGGCAGCATGTGCTACTTACCTCCGGCTGATTCCATGAGAACGAAGGACTGAATCCCGTGGCTGTTCGCAAATCGCTGTCAGTCCTGCCTCTCGTCTTGCTTGACCTGTTTCATTTTCGTCCGTGTATTTTTTATTTTTTTTCGCCGACGTCAGGCCCTTAGCGCAAGCCGATCAAGCGTGTTTTTGCGCTTCACTCCCTCATTTCATTTTAAAAGGTTTGGTAACTTTCAACAACCCTTTCAATGAGAAAAATCTCCAACTACTTTTCACGCCGCCACCACCCATGTATGTCTGCCTGTGCTCGTTGTTGTCATGCCTTGCCCGTTGGCTTTGCAGATCAAGGCGTTGGCCCGCGCGGGCGGAAGCGCAGCCTCGCGCGTGGCTCCGCAGCCGCTCAACCCACCCCGCACCGTTCCGAAGCCCTACGCGGCCGTACACGCCAAGGGCCGCGGCGCCTCGAGCTTGTGATTCGACCGGGGCTTGACGGCGGTTCTGGTCGGATGCGGCTAGCTAGGATCGATCGGCCTCGCTGATTGGTCGATGTTCTCTCTCTCCTTCAGATACGTGTGGCAGGCTGTGATGGTAACACGTATTGAGTATCGATTCGTATTTCTGGTCGCTTGGTCTCTTCTGTTTGTTGGGCAGGAAGGAGTCAAGGCGTCAACGCTCTGTCTTGAGGTCCCGAGTCTATCGGTTAAGCATGGTTTTCTGGAAAGCCTTCAGGATTGCTGTATTCTCGGCAACAATGAGGGAGACGGTTCTACGCTTTTGCTGTCTGACTGACTACTTCCAGCTCGAGGTAACAGGCGCTTCTTGGTCGATTTTTTTTCCAAATGTAGACGTATCTATTAACTATCACAAAGCTTTCGGGCGGGTGGGCGGCGAAGGAGTGGAGACGCCCGCCTAGCGTTAGAAACTACTCGATAGCAGGAGAATATCCTCGAACATGGCTTCCTGTTGTTGACGGCCAGCGGGTCGGAACGTGTACGTTGTATGAAAACCGTTTTTTGGTAAAAGAAGCTGGGGGGTTCGGGTGGAAAGGAGACACGGTTTACTGCTGTGTTGCTGCACCCAACGATCAGCTCTACGACTTATTATGGTTTGCACGGGACACACGTTTAAAATAGGCGGTGCGGCTCTCTACATGCATGTGTGTGTGCCAATGAAGACCACGCAGTAACTTTGTCTGCTGTTGTAGAAGCCCTAGGTCGGTGTGGGCCTTCGTGCGGAGGGAAAGCTCTAACCCTGTGTTCGTTTTTCTTCTTCTTCTTTCTGCTGGAAGGGACAAGAGGGTTCTCCGGCTCTACTTGGATCACCTCTCGTCATTCGAACGCCTGTGTCCTTGTTGCAATTATTATTTTTTACCGGACCGTTTTTATTCAATAGACCCTCTCTTTCTCTGTTGAAGAGCAAGGACGTCTTTGATAGGCTAACATCAACAACCACTCAACATGTTATTCTGTTATTCTTTGTCCACCTCCAACTGGCCGGAGAGGCAGTGCAGGAGCGTTGTCATTTGGCGCGCGGGCGTAAGGATGGGGAAGTATGGCAACAAGTGACCAAAGTAGTGATACAAACCGCCAGCCAGGGTGCCCATAGAGTTTGGTAGGTGGAGATGACAAGCCTATCGATTAAGCCATTCGGCTGTCTCTACCATGCCGCCACGGTTCACCAACCCAACGCACATAATTGCACCCGTGGCCCGTACATCGGTCGTAATTCTTGCGGGCTGCAGTCCTCCCTCCCACCGTATGGCGTACCATACCCCGCGACGATCCAACATCCAAGCACGGCGGCAGCAGCGGCTACGATGGTTCGAGAGAGAGAGGTCTTCCGTGGTACTTTTCGACTTCCGATCCACGAGGTGCTGGTCTGGCAATACTGCTGTGAGGGACTACTACTGCTGCTGCCGTGTAGGGCACGCGCGCGTATTGGTCTATCTGCGCGGCAAGGCACGGCGCCGAATAGTCCGGCGAGAACCGGAGCAATGGCCAGCATATCGCTTCGACCCCGAAAAAGAGCAAATAACAAAAATGTGCAACGTTGGAACCCCACAAACCCATCGCAGGCGGATCTTCGCCAACAACGGTCCTTGCTACAGCCCCGGCCCCGCCCCCAAACCAGTCGACAACCGACCGATCGAGGGATATGTGGTGTTTCTTCACATCTCGTTTGATCGCGTGTCAAAAGAACGCAAAGCCGGGGACAACACTCAACCGTCCCCGTGTTTTCGTGATTGAAGCGCTCTTGGCTCTTGGCGCTCTCACGGCATCGACAAAAAACGTAAAAATTGACGGTGTAAGCGAACACAACAATCCACGGCCACGTGAAAACACCGATAGAATAAGGTAAGATCACGGTGTGTAAGCAAAGTGAACAATCTCCCGGTTACGCAAACAAACACCTCCCGGTTTCGGCCTCACCGCAAAACTTTGCATGAAAACGGTTCATGACCCTACAAAAATTCCAGGGACGGTTGTCGCTTATCTACGGCTCGATTTTCATTCGTCTGTACTCGCTCCTCTTATTAAAGATATGCAGGCTTTATTGCCCGAACTCCAAGTACGCCACAGTGCATATTCCCTCCCCCTACATAGCCTATTGGTGGCGGAGGATGACGGTTACACATGTCCCTAGGAGGGCAAAACGATCACCCTTGCATCTTCCTTCATGGCAGGGTGGTGGCGACGACCATCGGGTGTCCCAGGGTGCAGCATCGCCTTGTCGCCGCAGGTGATCGTTCGACTCAACATATCAATCTATTGTGAGAGTGGGCACGGTATTTTTGTGGTGATGGTTTACAGTAACGACGGGCGCGCGTGCGTGAGGGGCGGGGCGAAGAGAGAGGAGATGGAGAGATGATCAGGACAACCGGGGAGAGACAACACGCAAGGCAGCGAACTGAAAAAAAAAGAATAGAAAAAACGAGAACAAACAAAGTCAACACTTGTTCATTCGGTCAGCTGTCTAGCTCGGCTGGCGTCCCGGCAAACAAAAAAAAACATACGGACACACATAGCCTAGCCTTCCCCATGACGCCCCCTCACGGGGTCCCAGATCATGGCCTTTAGAAGCATCTTGCGTTTTCAACGTCACTGAGACCGACGTCTTTTCATTGGTCAGCCGGTTTGCGCGGTCGATGCCAATACACATACACACACATACACACCCGGTAACAGGAGAGTCGAAGCTCGCTCTCGACCGACCAGCGATGCTAGCTCCTCCGCAAGCGCGTCAACCTGGTCAAAGAAAATAACCAAAGGTACCGGCAATTGAGCGGTCGATATCGAAGCGAAACTGTCGGGACAAGATTCGAAGGCCCAATCAACAATCAACCCTCACAGCGGTAGCAGTCAGGACAACGAGAAACATAGACAAGCAGGGGTAGGGTTTTGCAATACCGACGTTCACAAGGACAGCGGTAGGAAAAAAAAAGAGAAGTGCTGGGGGCATGAGAGGACGCCGTCGAGATCAAAGGTATGCCCTTCGGTGGGTGAAACAACTATGCATACCTCGTCTCCGCGGGTTAACTCGGGAATAATGACGGGCATGACAAGCCCACACCAACCTTTCTGGAGACGCCCACAGCAGTTTGCTGGAGAGAATGAATGTATGCGTCTTTCGTGCTTACAAACCAATGCCTCTCCTGACCTAGGCCCTCCACTTGACGTACCAGACTCAAACGCAAGCCCCGCCACCCAACCACTGACCCTATATCCACACCCTCGTCCACTCACGACCCTTTCACCCCGCCCCAGGGTTTAAGAAACGGGCTGAAAAGGCGAGAAGTGATATCGATGGCATACAAGCAGGGAAAAAAATCTGAGCCATGTTTGGCAAAGTGCAGGAAGGAACGATTGTGCCATGGTTGTGACCATTCCTGTGGGAACAAAGTCCCGTCCTCTCGAGGACGCAATGGTCTAACAGCTAGGGCCTGCAAAACACGAGAACCCCCTATACCTCATGGCGCTTGCTGAAGTGCGAGCCTGGTCCGGTGAGAACCCGGCGTGCTCCGGCTTTGTAGGGATGCAAGGCCAACGGTCTAACGACTAAACAGTATGAGCGGCTATGAGTCCAACCCCCCCCCCCCCCCTCTCCCACCTCTTCCTCCTTGGTCACTCTTCTGCAAGCCCTAACCGCCTCGACGTACAGGCCGGGCGCGGGCGCGAGACCCCCATCCCTCATCTCCCTCAAAACCGCCACGGAGTTGTCGCAGTCGTTTCGCAGCGCTGACAGTGCCGCGGCGTAACACACCGCGTCTGGGACTAACCCCTCCTATGATAGCGGTAACACAAATCCCAGCCAAAGGAGATGGGGGGGGTCAGGGATGACGTATGGGTGGAGGTGCGGCCGGCTATCTGTCGCCTGGCTTTGGAAGGGAGGATACGGCGGTTGTTGAAGGCAATGCAAGGATTTGGGGTGGGTGGACGAGCGGCAGCCGGCTACATGTCGCCGGGTTTTGACAGGGAGGCCAACTCATGCTTTGCATGCCTTAACTGTTATACCGTTGACCAAGCGCGTCCTCGAGAGGACGGAGCATTGTGCCGGCAGGATCGATCACATGGCCAATCGTTCCTTCCTACAATTGCCGAAGGTGGCTCAAAAATGTTTTCCCTTTCCTGTCCATCCTGTCGATATCACTTCTTGCTGAGGGGCGGTTGTTGGAGGCGATGGGAGGAGTGTGTGATACCGTGGTTTGAGGTAGGCGTTTTTAAACGTGGCCGGGTGTATGCCTACAGGTAGCCAGCAAAGCGCGTTGTGTGTGAACAACGACGGCGATGAATATGAAATCAAAAAGACGTCAACACTCCGGTAAACGAATGGAAAACACAGGGGGTCTTGTGAGAGGTGAGTCAGATGGTGCGTGTGTACTATTTCGGAAGTGGACAGGAGGACAAAAACGGCATCTCTGCGTGTGTGCGCGTCTTCGTCATTGTCTCTGTCTCTTTCCTCTATGCCATTTCCTCTTTCTCTGTCTACCACTCTGTCTCTCACCGCCTCCTCCTCTCTCTCTTTGCCCTCTCTGTGTATCTCTGTCTCGCTGTCTGCCCCCCTCTTCTTATCCATCTCTCTCCATTGCCTGCCTCTTCCCCTTCTCTCTCTCTCTCACTCACTCTCTCTCTCCGTCTATCTCTCACCGTGGGCATCTCCCTCAGAAGCGAGAGCGCTATATCCGGCTCGCTACCCCGCGCGCACGCCGTTATCGCAGGGGCGTAGCATGTCCGAGAGGGGGACATTCCCCTCTTCGACATATCTCTAAGCAGATCGACCGCATCACCGCATTGGCCGGATGCCGAGCACGCTAGTATGGCGGAGGAGTAGCTGGAGAGATTTGAGAGACGGCCAGCAGGTACGATTGACACCGGGAGGGAGGGGAAACAGGAGATCAAGACGCCATCACCAACCGGAACAACACACGATGCTTGCCACGCAGAGCGACCAGAGCAGCGCGAATACACACAACAGCGGAGGGTATAAACCGCAACACACCAGGGCGTACGCACAGAGCAAGGCGGCGCACACAGAGATAGGGCAAGAAGAACCAAAGGACAGCATCCGGAGAAAATACATGTATATTCAGAACCCGGACCCGGGGGCGCGCCAAGGATGACGGCGGACAAACAAGAAACAAGAAACAGAAAATATACAAAAAAGCAGAGGTAGCACGCACAGCTACGCGTAGCAGGGCTCCCTGAACAGGGACAGGATGAAAGTACAGGGAGGAAACACAACGAAAAAAATATCAAGTTCAGCAAAACAAACACCCACGCCGCCGCAAACGTACAGCAGTGCCCCCCAGAAACAAGCAACAAAACAAACACCATCTCACCACAACCAAAAATAACCTTAACTTCACACACGAAAAATCGACTATTCTGCGCCCCCCCCCCCCCCCCCCCCCTCTCTCCCTCTCTTTCTGTCTGTCTGTCTGTCTCTCACGTGACGGTGTTTGGGTTGATCCCGGCGTCCTTCATCTCCGCCAGGAGCTCCAGCGCCGGCTCGTGACGGCCGGCCTTCGCGCAGGCGGAGATGGCCACAGAGTAGTTGATCAAGTTGGGCCGCACCCCTTTCTCCGTCATCTCGCGCACGAGGGAAACCGCGTCTCGCCATCTCCCGGCGCCCCCGCACGCCGCCATAACCTGCCGTTGTCGTGAGTTTTTTCCCCCGGGGGAGGGGGGAAGATGAGACTCTTTCAGAACACGGATGGGAGACGGGGGTGGACTACTGTTCTGCATGCCTTCGTGGTTGCAGTAGAACATTCACCACGCGTCGTCAAGAGGACGGAGCATTGTTCCCACAGGACCGATCACCGATGGCCAATCGTCCCTTCCTACCTTGCCAAAGGTGCCTCAAAAATGTCTTCCCTCGCCTATCTACCTATCGATATCACTTCCCGCCTCTTCAACCCACTTCCGATGCCCCAGTACAGGGGGGGGAGGCGTCGAACCAAGCAAGAAAAAAGGGGGCCCGGCAGCCGGGAACACACGCTCACCAGGGTGTATACTACCCCGTCGGGAGTCACGCCGGCCGCCTCCATGTCTCTGAGGATGGCAAGGGCTTGCTTCCCCTGCCTGCGATCCCGGCACGCCGACAGGGCGTTGGTGAAGCACGCCTCGTCCGGTCGGAGACCCGACGCCGACATCTCCCTGAGCAAGCGCGGCGCATCGATGCCATCGTTTGGGACGACGGGTCTTGCGCTGTTTGTCGAAGGGTGATCCGCCGCCGCCTCCCCCGCCGACAGCGAGCTCGGCGCCTCGTTGCTATCAACGCTTGTCGCGTTGTTTTCTTTCAAAGGTTGAGCCGTCGCCGCCGCCGCCGCCGCCGCCGCTGCGGGCGTGGACGGCACAACCCCCGCGACGGCCGCGCACACGGCGATCGCGGCGCTGTACGCGAAGAAGTCGGGCACGTCCATGGCCCTCACCAGGGCCACGAGCTCCGCGGCCGCCTCGGGGGTCTTCCCGTACACCCCGACGACGCTGTCGTAGGCCGACCCGCTCACCGTCGCCAGGCCGCGCTCCGACATCTCTCTGATCAGCCGGAACGCCTCCGGGAGCCGGGCCTCCCTCGCGAGCACGGAGATGGCGGCGCTGTAGGTTAGCGCGTCGGCCTCGACGCCCGCCTCGGACATCTCCCGCAGCAGCCTTTTTGCAGGTGTAGAGGTCGGGGGGGCGGGGCAGGGAGGGAGTTCGATAGGGTACCGAAGAAAATGCAAGTCACGTGTATTACAGCAGTAGCGCATCGGTTGAGGAGGTTTGATTGGTCACATGTTGAGAACTGTACTGTGCGGTGGGTCGGACGGCGGGAGAAGCTAAGCATTGGCTGCAACAGAAGCAGAGGTGAAAAAATGGCCTATATGTATACATGGGTGCCCCTACGAACCTCAAGGCCTGCTCCCACTGCCCGTTGTTCCCGCACGCGGTAATCGTCGCCGCGTAGACGTAGTTGTTTACGGCCCCCCGCCGGCCCCTCGGCCCCCCCGCCGCCCCCGCTCCTCCCGGAGTACCGCGCTCGGCGTCGTCGTCTCTCCGATCCCGCCTGATGCGGTCAAGCAGAGCTACCGCTTCTTCCCAGAGCCCGCACTGCCCGGCCACGGTTATGGCGGTGCTGTAGCTGGTGGGCGTGTGCTGGATGCCCTTCCGGGGCATCTGGTCGAAGAGAGCTAGGGCCTCGGCCCAGTCTGCCGTCCGGGGGCTAGGCGGGGCAGCCGCCGCCGCCGCCGCCGGCCGCTGCCTCCCGGCGGCGCTAGCAGATGCGGAAGCGCTAGCGGCGGCGGCGCTATTAGCAGAGGCGCTAGCAGCGGCGGCGCTAGCAGCGGCGCTGGAGGACGCCACCTTCGCGGCGGCCGCGTTCCCGTGCGCGGCGATCATGGCGTGGTAGGTGATGGCGTTCGGCTCCACGCCGGCCTCCTCCATCTCCCGCCAGACCTGCCTCGCCTCCGACGTGCGGCCGTTCTCGCCCAGCGCGGCCACGAGGGTGGTGTAGGTCACGACGTCGGGGGCGGCGATAACGCACCCACATTCTCCCTCGCCGGAGGCCTGACCCGCCAGGCCCTGCAGCTCCCGAAACACTTCCATGCTCTCCCGCCACTTCCCCGACATCCCGAGGGCGCGCATCGTGGCCCCGTACGTGCCGACCGTCGGCCGTAGCGGAACCCTCCCGCCGGGCACCACCGCTCCCGCTCTCCCCGCTGCGTCTAGCTCTCGCAGCAGGCCCAGGGCCTTCTGCCACTGCTTGCCGGAACCGCACGCGGCGATGCAGATGTTGTAGCTGATCTCGTTGACCTCCAGCCCTGCGCCCTTGGCTCGCTCGAGGAGACCGAGGCACCGCTTCCACTCCCCCGCGGCCGTGCAGGCTTCCAGGGTAGCGTTTAGGCAGAAGGAGTTCGGGGTGACGCCGCGGGCCCACATCCTCTCGAAGACGGCCAGAGCCTCGCGCCACCGGGAGCACTTCGCCAGGTGCATGAGGCAGCTGTTGTACGCGTGGCTGCTGACTCTGCCGTCGCTGCCGCCCGTCGTTCCCTTCTCCGCCTGAAGAGTCATGTCGCACGTGTGTGTTCGTGTGTGTTCGTGTGTGTGCGTTTGAATGAGCATCGACCGAGCTAGCCCGCTGACCAAACAAAAGACGTCAGCCTCACTGGGGCCAATAACAAAAAACGCTCCTGAAGGCCATGATCTGGGACCCTGTGATCGATCGTCATGGGAAAGTCTACGCTAATCTCCGGACAAAAGACAGCTTGCTACCGTGTGCGTGTGCGCGCGCGTTTGAAAAAGCATTGACCGTGCTAGCCGGCTGACCAATGAAAAGACGTCAGCCTCAGTGCGGCCAAAAACCAAAACGATTCTGAAGGCCATGAGCTGGGACCCCGTGATGTGTTTGTGTGTGTCATTATTATTAGCATCGACCGCACTAATCGGCTGACCAATGAAAAGACGTCAGTCTCAGCGGTTGAAACACAAAACACTTCTAAATGCCATTATCTGGGACACCGTGAGGGGGCGGCATGGGGGAGGCTAAGCTATTCTACGGATGAAAGACATAAACGGTAGCAACAGCAGACCACGTGTCTACCAAGGCTGCTACATTGCACTCGCGTTCTTTTTGGAGTGCTGCGTGTGCATATTCCAACAAAATTGAGCTCACGGGACGGAGTGCGCTCCAACATCGCGAACCAAAATAAAAAAAAACACGGCATGTTTCTCTGCTGTAACATCGCCAAAGACAAAAAACAACACATAAAACCGCCCCTGAAACAGTTAGCTCACGGCTCAGAAGCGGCTATCGCAGTCGTCTTTTGCAACAAAAAGTATGCGAAAAAATCTTCCGCACCGGTCAACTACTGCCTACTGGTGCCCCCCCCCCCCGTGTTGCTTCACACCGTGCCGCCAGTAGTCTTAGCGAGGCTATTAAGCTATTAAGCTATTAAGCTTGGTTGTAGTAGGGGTTACCGGTGTGGGTTGGGGGTTAGGGTCACGAAACCCCCCTCTCTATTTTATGTAGTACCTCGTAAGATATAAAAATAATATCCTCACTGTGAGGCGGTCCGTGTCGCCTCCCTCACCTCCCCAAACTTGGCCTCTGCAGTTTCCGCCTCCTCCAGCTCCCGCATCACCCCTCGCCAGTTCCACCGCGACATGCCCCTGATCTTCACCACGAAGTCTCGGGAGCGGGCGAACGCGGCCCTCCCTTTCTTGGTCCCTCTCCTCGCGCCCCTCCCCCTCCCTTCCCCGGGGCGCCGTCTGCGCACCCCCCTGCCGCCGCCGCCGCGCCCCCCTTGCCCCCCCTCTCTCATAGACGAATATGTTGTCGGCGTCCGTCCTTGTTCGCTTGCTGCTGATGATGCTGCTGCATGCTTCGAACCCGTACTCGGTGCCCCTGTGTTGTACGGGGGGTGAAATGTTCGTGAAATCGCGGGGGGGGGCGGGACGGACGTTGTTACGTCTCAGTCTTTTGTTTGAGTGCATCGAGGAGGCGCGAGGAAAATATACAGTCTCTGATTTTCTGTCGACACGCGATTTTTTCACACGTATGGAGACGCGAATTTTCTTGTCGCACGGACGGGAGGACCCAAATGGTTGTTCCGCGCGGCAGCAGGAGAGAGAGAGCCAAGATATTTGCGGTAGATTAACCGGCCGGCGTTGTTGGTGAGAAAATCGCCTTTCCGTCAAAATGTTTGGTGAAGATTTCATGTGATTGTATTCCAGAGGTAGGTGGTCTCGCGCTGGTATGTACGTACCACGGAATCTTAATCTTCGGTGTATGGCTTCCAACAGACTCATTGTAGATAGCAGTGCAGTGACCAGGAGGTGTCATTCAACCATTTGATCCTCACCGTGAAGAGCTCACGAGTACATCCCTTTCAATTGATCCCTTTGAAAACACCTTGAACGAGTACTGCCGTTAAAGCACAAAATTCTTGTACCGGTATACAACGGTAGGTTGCATAAGATACCACACACCTTGAACCGATCTTGAAAGCTCCGTTACTACACAACGCAGAGGATGCCATAGCCACATGATGCGTCTTCGGAAAGCCGTCGACGAGAAGGTTTCTATCGCCGCTATTTAACGGCACCGTCACCGCTTCTGCCGTTAAGTAGTCGGGCTTTCAAACTAGCTCCCCAAGGGGGTGTGGTATCTCACGTATGCAACATTGTTCCAAGTTCTGCGGCGAAAACAGAGGCTGAGGCGTAGAATGATACCAACTGGCCGTTTCGCGGCTTCGTCTACGACGCACACCTCTGCTACCACACGCCGTGTTGATTTTCCAAACCGATGGACGGGGCGGCTGCTGTTGTATGCTCAACATGTGCACGAACGTCCTGCTGTCCCTCGCGTCATGATTCTCGAACATTGATTCGCGACATGATTAGACCCCAAGGCACTGTTACATATATGAGGCGAGCTAACATGTGCGCCTTGTATGTTGAGGAAAAAACCTCTTTCTGGTATCCATAGCATCATCCCTACGCGAATTCTTACACCACAGCCGTGTGGAGTACGCGGAGAGGGAGAGGGTCTCCACCGCTAGCGATGGCCCTCGTCTACATATCTCCCCACTGCTGAGCAAACTGCAACCTCGCAACAACCAACTCACATTGTCCCACGGGGTCAGCGCCAGAGGCCGGAGCAGCAACCTCGGGACCGACAGATCTCCTTCGTGGGGGTGTGTGCACTCCGGCAGCACCCATACCGTCGTCTTGATCAGACGCCGCCATTGTCGACGACTTCGCGGATGGTCTTGCAGCGAGTGTCGTACGTTGCTCATGCGCTGGGGTGCATGAGAGCCGCTCCTGCTTTCGCTGCTGCTGCGGCGACCACCGTGTCGGCACCCAACGTGGGTGCACTGCTGTTCTCCATGCCTCTGCTCCTGCGGCCCCTGGACCTACTGATGGAGCGATGAATGCCATGCTTTCCTGCGTTCAGAGCTCGGTATCAGTATGGTGTTGGTGCTGTGTTGTGTCCTGCCACCATTCTGGGGGCTTCGCAGAAGACAGTCCACACAAGACCTACATACCCCCAGTGACAAAAAGTTCAAAAGTTTGGTTGGTGTTACTTGCTGTTTTGCTGCCCGTACTCACACGCGCACGCGAGCGCGCCTACGAAAGACCGTTCGACTCGATGGGCGAACACAAGACCTGCAACAGGAAGCAAAAAACTGCTGTGCTTGTGGATACGTGTGTGTGAGATGGAGAGATGGAAAGCCACAAAGTTTCGTCTTATGAGTGACTGATGGCAGACCTGAGACGCTATAATACGTACGCCGGATGGGCCCGACATGGACATGGACATGCAGCATCCAGCACCACCGCGATCACTGGAGGCCGCTGGTAAGCCTTTGCTCGGTCATTCGGCTGTTTTTCAATCCCTTTACTTGAACGCGCACCGTACACCTTTCCCTCTTTCCCGAAATGAGAGGTTTTCACCGTTGTGAAGGGTCTCGTCGTTTCAGAGGGAAAAACGAGGACTAGACTAAAAAATTAGCGAAGGGAATAAATTGATAAATTGTTAGTGTGCCATTGCGGCGACCGCTCAAACGTTACAACCTGCTGCATTTTGATACCCCGTATATATGCATAAGATATAGCCTAAATACATACTTCCATGACTGCTGTGCTTGAGTTTGTGTACAGCGGGGACATAAAGCCCTCAAACCAGCATGATTCCATATCGACGGCGGGTTGAAGTCTAGAATAAAAGGGGTTTTGACGTTTTGACGCTGGTTCTTTCTCATACCTTAATCCAACATAAAGAGAGAACAACCTTCCCGCCTGGTAATTAGTACTAGCATGAGGAGAGGACACCATCAAGAGGTGTCGTGCGTGCTGGCACGTTCAGGTTTGATACTGGACCTGAAATATCGAAGGTCGCAGCAGCCTCTGAAAACAGTCCGAAATCTGCACCGGAACCAAGCGGCGTCCAACGTTTGTCACAGCCGTGCTCACCGCCACGGACCGTAAACCCCTGAGCGGCGGTTGCTGCAGTAGCTAGTGGCATCAGCTACTGCTGTAAACCCGCAGTTCAGGGGATTGGGGTCAGTGGCGGCGGGCACAAGCAGTACAAGACGTTGGGTGTCGGTCTAACTTGCGGAGATTTGCGGAGGAGGAGATTGTAGGCCACTGCGATGAACAAGTACTTACAGTACGACCCTCGATATCACCACAGAGGCAGATTTGAGCGCGCCAACACGCACCCCCCACTGCTATAGGATATCCTCTATTGATATTAGTACTATGCACCAGGTTCATGGCAACACAGACATTTTTTGAGCGCCAGCCGTTTGGGCTATTTTGACTTGAATTTAGAATTATGTGAATTTTATCTTGATTTCAAAGGAGGCGTGTGGAGGTAGACGCGTGAAATGTATGTTTTGAGCAGCCCCTACTGTCGCCCTGTGCGAGAATCGACGATTTCTGTTTTTCGCGATGCCCTCTCCGACTGGTCTTGTATGTCTCTTGTGCGTTTTCTGGTGCTCTTACTTATGTTATGTTTTCGAAAGAGCAGTGGCCAAAATCGAGTACACCCGGTCCAAACACGGCCATAATCGGGTACCCCTACAAGATGCTGCTGGGAGCGACCGCATGCCACCATCTGATTGGCCGACGCCCGCCCCTACCCGACCTTGACCGCCTTTCCACCGGGTGCACCCGATCTTGGCTACCCACCCCCGGCAGGGGTACCCGGTTTTTCTTTCCCCAACCCGAAAATGGCTGGGCTGTTCGACCAAAACCATGCACACAACCACGGGTCGGACGCACACCACTGGCCCTCGTTTGTCGCCAATACTGAGAAGGTAGCGGGAGGGAGATAAATACGTCTATTCTTGAGATGAGTCCCGTGTGTGTCGCATCTCGTGAGGGAGGTATTCATCCAGCTCTTTCTTCTTCTCGATCATTTACACAGACCGCCAGCCGTTTCCCCCAAGGGAGACTTCCACCGCCAGCGGGGGGCCTGCCTCCGCCCGCCGGGCCGTCAGAAGGTCCGAATTCGAGGGCAGGGCGTTGCTGACGTGTACTTGTGTGCATGGATCTTGGTCGAACAGCCCAGCCATTTTCGGGTTGGGGAAAGAAAAACCGGGTACTCCTCCGGGGGGTGAGTAGCCAAGATCGGGTGCACCCGGTGGAAAGGCGGTCAAGGTCGGGTAGGGGCGGGTATCGGCCAATCAGATGGTGGCATGTGGTCGCTCCCAGCAGCATCTTGTAGGGGTACCCGATTATGGCTGTGTTTGGACCGGGTGTACCCGATTTTGGCCACTGCTCTCTTCAAAATTTATAGTCAATATGTTTCTTGTTCTGTACCCAATGCTCCGAAAAACATTATCGGTCTGGTCTGATCATCGTTGCCATGTCATGCAACGTTGCCCGATGATGCGCCGTTATCATCGTGCCGTGAGGGTTGTGCAGTGCAAGTTCTGAAGCATGGCCGAGCTCGCGGAGCTTCGAGGCAAATAGTCGAGAAATAGGGTGAATCCCAGAAGCCAATGCGCGCTGCACGTGCTATACCACTGCCATGACCTGCTCTGCTTGTGTCTGTGTGGAGAGGGGACGTCAAGCCCACAAATCAGCATGGTTCCACAAGAATAACAGAGTGTTGAAAGAATGTCCCGAAATTAAACACCGGTCTGGTCTGGTCATCATCGGTCGGTCGGATGGGTCGATTCTGTAAGAGAGGGATTCCTTCCGACCCTCATTTGTTCGCCGATCTCTGCCAATGCAATGATCGGGACAATGACACCCACGGCAAACCGGCGAATGGTGCGTGACAGGATGACACGCGATTACATGTAGTGCAGGAACTCGCTAAGAAGCCCGCTTCTGCTGGCATTTTCTGTGCGACGAACGTATATTATGCGTTCAAGACGTCGGGATGGTTGCCCAGGAGGTGCTAAACGAAGATAACTATGTAGTTATAGGGGATTTCTTTAATTTGATAAGTTTACTTTTGTGTTTGGTTTTGTGGCAGGGCATAGTATTCAGGATTGTTCAAGGAGTAAAACCGGTCCGTGGAGCGTTCCCTTTTTTTTTTTAACGGGGCGGAGCGGTTCGGTATTTGAGTATTATTTTAGTTTTGTAGCAGACATATGCATAAGGTTGCGAAAAATATCCAATCGGGTAAGGTGCGTCTCACCTGTTGTACAGTTATTTGCAACCTATATCTGTGGAGTCGATACCCGTAAGGACAATCAAGCGGCGTCACACTCTCTAGCAAGCAGCCGCCAACACCCAATAGCGTCACGGAGCCAATATCGCCACCCATATCATCCATAGCATCCATAGCATCCATAGCATCCATAGCAAGCCCCATAATCAGCATATCAGGTTCAGCACTCACAGTGGGTGGCAACAGCATAGGTATGGCTCAATCAACCTTTCGCTTCAGGGGCGGTGTTGACAAGTAAACACCTGGTTTTAGTTGGGGGCAACGGCCGAGGAATAGGCGTGCCCCCAGGGATCAGGGGACATGCACCCTGGACCGGTTCAGCAGGCTGAATCGGGAGACACATTGGTCTGTCTGATTCCCAATCATGTCAGTCTACGACCGCCGGACACTCGCGACCATAGCATGGTATCTATCATCGTATTTCGAGAACCGGTGGGACGACCGGCCGTACCGCCCCCCCCAGCATCGACCGTGGTACAAGGCTGTGCTAAAGGACGGGCGCTCCGGTTCCCACACCCACGTCGATTCCTCACTTCCTAGTTAGTCCGCAAAGACATAAACAAGTGAAGGGGATCCCGATCTTGGACCAGGAGAAAGTGATCTTGACTCTCGTGGGGCAGGAGACGGCGATCTTGAATCTCACAGCTCCATTCTCCGTCGATCGATACAACAACGGACTGTGAAAAAAGTAAACTCCCCGTGAGATTTCGCGCGGCCATCCGCTGCCAGTACACCCCCCCAGGCTACCAGACAAACAGCAAGCAGGCTCATGGCAGTGGCACGTACACATTGGTCGTTTCTCAGGCAGAAAAGGAAGGACGGGCAGCCACTCCCATGCCAACGTCCATCTCTCGCTTCGTGAGCTCCTCCCGGTCGCCGTCAGGGTACTTCACTCTCCAGTAGGGGTCACAATGTAGTCGAAGACGGTGGCCTTATGAAGACCTTGTGCTGGTCCTCGTTGTGGACAAATTCGCGGCCCACTTGTGTACCCACCGGAAGAGTCGCAAGGCGTGATCCCGCAACTCCACTTCACTTGCGCCCCGGGTGGGCGGTCCGGCAGGCCTCGGCGTAGCACCCTCCCGATGATAGCCCTCATTCGCAGCGTGAAAGACGTCGACTTGTAGGGGGGAGAAGCTGTCGCTCGTCTCGTCTTCCGTCAGCCAGGGCGATAAATACCGTGCCGTCTTGATAGCGGCCCTGATACTCCCACGACCATGCCGAGGTGCTGCCGGGACCGCGAAGACAGAGAAGTCGACAAGGCCGAGGTGAGCTGACCACACGAGATGTGCGTATTCATCCTCGAACGGGAGCCAGAGGTGATGGAGTCGCGCGTGGTACACCTTGACGTCGGCGGCCGCGACTCGACGTTGGGGTGCCCGTCGTCCGTTCAGTTGAACCTTGAAGCTCAGGCGGTCTCGATGACGTGGGTGACCCTCCACGGGCCAGTGTAGTCGTCGTGCGCCAGCTTCGGGTGGCGGTTTTCGCGGTGGAGAGTGTTGCTCGCCTCCTTGACTAAGACGAGACTTCCGACCACGGCCTGGGCACCCGGCGACTCCCACACCATGTTGGCATTGTGGCGCTGTCGTGGACGGTTGTGGGCCTCATGGCGTCGTTTGGATATCTCTTGTGTCATGCGTTGGTGGTCGGCAATCGTCCTCTCAAGTCCTTGGCCAAAAGAGTCGTCGTCTAGGGCTTGGGTCAAGGCGTCGATCTGGCTACGCGACTCCTGACCGGAGAGTATTCGGTATGGTGACCCCCCCCAGGGAGGGACGCGTCTGGCATGACCCTGTCGATCCATGTAGCGACAGGGACGAAGTCATCCCATCCCCGGGGCCATAAAGTACACAGCTGAGTCAAGGTCTCGTAAAGCCACCCCCCCAGCCTCTCGACTCCTCCCTGTGCCCTGGGATGGTTGGTTGGGCCGTCGTTCAGGGGTACTCACAGCCAGTGATGAAGGTGCTGGATCACTTCCGCCGTGACCACGCTTCGGGGGCCGCATCGGATCAAGAGCGGCAGACCAAACATAAGCAGGAGCCCAAGCAGTTTGTGGCTGACGCCAACTGCTTCATCCGACGGCAGCGGAAAGGCCGTGAGGAACTTGGACGCTCGATCACCGACGGCGAGTAACTACAGCTTACCGTTGCACAGGACACCTTCATGTCCTGGATGTCCGTATAGAGGACTTCCCATCGCTGCAAAACCAACGAACTAGTAGTCTCGAAAGCAGAAGCCTCGGTACACGTCACGTACTACCTGCATTTATTTCTCTCCATCTGCTACATGCAGCAGCAGTAAGTACCGTCTCCTTTGTCTTTCATCCGGAGAATCGTAGTCTTCTAGGCTCTCCCATGACTGACGCCCTGTGTCCACGACCGACCATGGCCTATGAAAGGAGACGCGTTATTTTCTGTAGTCAGCCGCACGGAATGACTGTCTGTTTCCATTGGTCAGCGGGTTGAGCCGGGTCGATGCTAATAATGGCTACAGACCTACACTTACTGCTGTATCACCGCTCGCTCGCGGGGAAATACATGTGTGTGCCTTCAAACACGAAAGACACGTACGTACGTACGTACGTGGAAGCACGCCGTGCTGCTGTGCCATAGGCAGCAGCAGGTCTGTTGTTGTTGTCGTCGATCCGGAAGCAAGCGAGGTTCGGCAGGCGGCAGGATTTTGATTAGAATGTTCTGTCTTTGTGCCTAATGTCTACAGTAGTAGTAGTAGTCTAGTACATGTAGCTATGCCTATTTTTTTGCCTACAAAATGCGCACTTTTTTTCCTTTTGGCGCAGACCAAATTGGTAGTTTTACTGACGCAGACTAGACTGTATTATAGAAACGAACACCAATCAGCCGAATGGAGGTATGGTGCTATGTTTGGCTGGCACATTTGATGTGTTTCAGCTTCACAGCAGTGCCTGTCATGCACCATCGTTTTTTTTTTTTTCCCCGCGAGAGTTTGGCGACGACAAAGTCGCTCTAACAGTATCTGTCTCTCAGTGGGTTTTTTTTTTTTTGGCGAGAGTTTGACTGGCAACCAATGGTTGTTGCTTCATGTCTAACAGGCACCCCCCCCCAAAAAGACCTGTCTCTCCCCCAACGCCGTGGGGGCCCCAACCCCAAACCCCAAACAAACCCCAAACGGCATCGGGGACACGATGCTACGGCAGCATTACTATCACAGTAGCACATCACATCGCCACGAGGAGTGCAGCAAGCAGTAGTAGTAGTTAGGTGGTGGTGTTGTGTCGTCACATACATACATCTTCTTGTATGTAATGTGTACATACTGTAGGATATTATCTGATGGAAGCAGCAACAACATCATGCATGCATCCATGCCAAGCGAACGGGGCCGAAACAAACACACACGAACGAGTAGTCTCGAAAGCAGAAGCCTCGGTACACGTACGTACTACCTGCATTTATTTCTCTCCATCTGCTACATGCAGCAGCAGTAAGTACCGTCTCCTTTGTCTTTCATCCGGAGAATCGTAGTCTTCTAGGCTCTCCCATGACTGACGCCCTGTGTCCACGACCGACCATGGCCTATGGAAGGAGACGCGTTATTTTCTGTAGTCAGCCGCACGGAATGACTGTCTGTTTCCATTGGTCAGCGGGTTGAGCCGGGTCGATGCTAATAATGGCTACAGACCTACACTTACTGCTGTATCACCGCTCGCTCGCGGGGAAATACATGTGTGTGCCTTCAAACACGAAAGACACGTACGTACGTACGTACGTACGTGGAAGCACGCCGTGCTGCTGTGCCATAGGCAGCAGCAGGTCTGTTGTTGTTGTCGTCGATCCGGAAGCAAGCGAGGTTCGGCAGGCGGCAGGATTTTGATTAGAATGTTCTGTCTTTGTGCCTATTGTCTACAGTAGTAGTAGTAGTTGTACATGTAGCTATGCCTATTTTTTTGCCTACAAAATGCGCACTTTTTTTCCTTTTGGCGCAGACCAAATTGGTAGTTTTACTGACGCAGACTAGACTGTATTATAGAAACGAACACCAATCAGCCGAATGGAGGTATGGTGCTATGTTTGGCTGGCACATCTGATGTGTTTCAGCTTCACAGCAGTGCCTGTCATGCACCATCGTTTTTTTTTTTTTCCCCGCGAGAGTTTGGCGACGACAAAGTCGCTCTAACAGTATCTGTCTCTCAGTTTTTTTTTTTTTTTTGGCTAGAGTTTGACTGGCAACCAATGGTTGTTGCTTCATGTCTAACAGGCACCCCCCCCCAAAAAAGACCTGTCTCTCCCCCAACGCCGTGGGGGCCCCAACCCCAAACCCCAAACAAACCCCAAACGGCATCGGGGACACGATGCTACGGCAGCATTACTATCACAGTAGCACATCACATCGCCACGAGGAGTGCAGCAAGCAGTAGTAGTAGTTAGGTGGTGGTGTTGTGTCGTCACATACTTACATCTTCTTGTACTACAGCAGGGACTTGCTCTGAATCCGGGGCTGGAAGGACCGTTATTATTTCCCTGCGCGGCTGGTTTCGAAACGAGAACCAACCGTCTTGTCGCTTATTGTCCGGCTACGACAGACAGACACTTGCTGTAGTACATGCTACTTACTACTCTGGAGCTTTATTCTTCAAGAAACTCGCGCAGACATCTAGCAGTGGTAGATAAAGTCACACTAATACCTGGCTGGTTAGACTAGTTTGAGAGAGAGAGAGAGAGAGAGAGAGAGGAGAGTGGTGAACGGAAGGAAGGACGATGATATGTATGTATGTGTGTGAAGGAGGACAATGATATGATGACGACTAGATTATGTGCAGGGGGCTCGTAGACAGGAGACATTCATCCTCCAAGGTACATTCAGATTGCCCCCTTCCATTGATTGTATTGATTGGCCAATTCAATCTGCATCACAGTGTCAATTGTCATGAGTGTTTCAGCTTGACCGGACCAACTAGTTATTCATTTTCCCACATGCCGAAGGTTTGGATTGGGCATGATTTCTTGGGATAAACCACCACCGTGTACCGATCTTTCTCGAAACTCCATTCCCCCAGCATTCGAGACCGCAGCCAAAAAAGAAAAAAAAAGAAAAGTCCTCGATTCTTTTTAGATTATCACAACAGTAGACGGGAGAGGCGACAGCTGATCACAGGGAGGGCCCATATCTCGTCCGTTGTAACCCTACGGGTTGTATATACCCCTGCAAACTGCAAACTGTGCAAACAACGGCACGACGACAATGTTCTCGGGCGTGGGAAATCATACAAACGTGACTTAGGTGTGAAACGTGCTGCCGATCAGACTCATATTTTGTTGAGCGCATTTTGTCTGGCGACCATCATCTTGGGCCGAGAGTCACACGTGAAAAGACATGCAACTATTGGTTTATTGTATTACGTTAACTCTTGTTAACGCCGAAAAGATCAATGCACTTCGTAACACGCGATGCTACTCGAAAATACAAATGCTGTAACTACACTAACTACAGACTCAGAGTAGACTTAAAGACGTTACGGGCCGACGCAGAATGCCAAGGGAACCCCGCGCAGCTCCTGCTACTGATGTGACGCTGACGCTAAATTCGAAACCTTTCACGTCTACCGTGTGCATACACTCTACTACATACATTCGCGCACCCTAAAACATAACCTACCACTACACAGAGACCTTTCGAAGCAAAAAAAAATCCAGGCTCCATGAAGTGGCCATTTCAACGTGACCAAACAACAGGTGCTCAGGATAGGCATCCTGCGCTAGAACCTATATATTCGACGTTGGTTGCCCTACAGAGAAAGTAAGAGACTAGTATCGAGCATAGTAAGTGGCGGCACGTCTCCAAAATTCAACACTATTACAGCACCTGAGACGCCCGCTCGCTGCCGACGGTGGACACAACAACGTCCCTCTGCCAGATACCACCAGTGGTTTCCTTGACAAACGCACAGGGAAGCTGAACCACATCAACCCTTACGACACACGCGTACGCAAATGAATACAGAGAACATGAGTTTTAGTACGGCCCGCCGGCAGGCATCCCATAGGGCGGGGAGGGGGGGGGGGGGGGTACAGATAACGAGAGAGGCATCATTACCCGTTTCCCACAGTCTACTTCCCAAAGCCTGACCCCGAGAGTGGACCTCCGCCAAGACCGAGACATAATGACAGTGTGAAAAAACAACAATGACAACAAAAAACAACAAATATGGACAAAAACCAAACCACGTGACGCAACCAATGAAAAACACAAGACTGCTCCTCGAGGCGCCCGTACAAGTCGCGCCGTCACGAGCAGCACCGTTCTTGAGAACGGCTCTCACTTTCCACGGTTGGCTCCGAACCCCCGCCAATCAGCGCCACGACTAGGATCAACAACCAACTGACGCCCGGGTGAGATTACCGAGTGGCAAGCAATCACCGATGAACGGCTTCGAGCGTACATTTACAAAAAGAGAGGTACACGTCAATCGAGCAAGCAAACAGGACCCTCACGTCCTTCTCCACAGTCCTGTTTTTTGCATGAAACACTAAAGACATCCAACAGCGCCGTTTCTTCTCTTCATGTAACATACCAGCAAATTCAACGGCGGTTTCGAGCCTCTCATTCGAGTGTCAAAATATTGATTACACCGATGAGTAGGAGCTGGGGACCGATCGTGGTCGTCGCGGGTGGGTGCGCTTCAGGAACCGTTCCGAGACCCTTTCCTATTAGCACCGTTCCCGCCGCCGGCAACGATCGACGCTAAGACGTTCCCTGCGGGTGGGTGAGCTTTCACGAACCATTCCGTTCCGTTCCGGGTTCGTTCTGTTCCGATCCGTTCCGTTCCGTTCCGAGACCCCTTCCTATTTGCACGATTCCCGCCACCGGCAACGGTTGACGATAAGAACGTTTCCCGTGGGCTGGTGAGCTTCAAGAACCGTTCCGAGTTCCGTTCCGGGTTCCGTTTCGAGTCCCTTTGCTATTTGCGCCGTTCCCGCCGCCGGCAACGACCGACGCCGGAACGTTACCCGGCGGGGTAGCCTCTCGCTTCTCCCTTCGCTTGCCACGCCCACCGCTTGCCGCGCGCGCGCCGCGCGCAAGGGCAACGTACGACAGCACCTGCAGCGGCGACCGCACAAAAAAATAAACATGAGTTCGAGTACATATCTAGAAGGGGCACAGGGGTGCAAGGGGGAGGCGCTACAGAGAGCGGAGATGAGCTCGAGTATATACATTACTTGGGGGGTTCGCGGGGATGCATTGGGGCGGCGCCATCGATAACGGCGCGGCCACGGTGGGGGGGGGGGGGGGGCTCCATGTGTCCGTTCACGACTGGGGGGGTATCCCCAATCTGGAAACACACTGCTGCGAACCCACTAGAGCCGTGTCGAGCGATCCGCGTTGTTGTTGATCACGACCGGACGAGCCTAGGAGGCAGTCTCCGAAGATGTCGAAAACAAAAAACAAGCGCCCCAAAAAAATGCGGCCTCCGGCCGTGTCAACCCCAGGCCGCGCCCCAAGACCCCCCCCTGTCGAACGGGGCATATTTCTACAATACATGGGCCGAACGAGTGTACACCCCATTATTTTTATATCTCACATACTGGTCTTGGTAGGAAGCGCTAGTTCGTGTGCACACAGAGAGGGAAGAGAGTGCTGCACTCTTCTCGCATTCAAAATTGAAGGCGAAGCACCCCAGGAGGGATGGGTAGGGGGGTCCAGGGAGAGACCCCTCTGTGACCACGGGTTGGAGTATGAGGCACAAGTGCTGTAAGCGCCGATTTTGAAGTGATGAAAAACATATATATACGCGGCAGCGAGACCCCGATTCTTTGACTTACCAACGCCAGCACGCACACCCCCACGGCGGACACCTTCCTAGCCGTGCATCCCCCGGGAAGAACGGCCTCAACGCACTCCGAAGGCGGAGAACGGTCCAGGAACGTTCTCTCGATCGGTCTTCTCTCCTCCTCCTCCTCCCGCCCCTGCTGCGGCCGGTACTTCGCCTCCGCCACCCCTCCCCCGCTTCCGGTACCGGTGGCGGCGTCGGCGGCGTCGGAGGGAAGGAAGCCTGCGGCTCGGCGGTTACGTTTCGAAGAATCGCCATCACCAATATCTTCCTCTTCGTCCGTCAGGCCCCCGAAGTGCTCGATTACCGGAAGGATAGGGGTGCCCTCAACGTTTCTCACGGTCACCGCCATTTTCGCCGGCTGGCAAAAAATGCGAATTATCCGGGGGGGGGGGGGGGTATACACGTCTGAGCGGTTGACCACGCGTCTTCGAGGGGACGGAGCACTCGGTGGGGGGGGTCTGGTCGGACTGTTTGTTCATCACGTGCGCCGCCAGATCTTGTGAAAACATGGATAACTGCTGAGCGGTGTTAAAATGGTTCCTAGCGCGCGATACTTTAGATAGGACTGAAGGAGGGGGTCCTGTCAACCTGTTCTCGCGTACCGCATACGACACAACGCAAACGCGCCCCGGCGATGACAACATTTTTTTCGCTTGTTTTCTTAAAAAAAACTGATCACCGGGCGTGTTGTTGGGTGGGAGGTGGGGTACGTTTTCCGTGCCACTTCAAAACCCGTACGAAACCCGTACGAAACCAACTTCCGGGTTGGTATAAAATCTGTTTCGTAGTATAAGTACACTAAAACATACCTGGGGAGTGCTCTCGTCTTCGGCCCACTCGATCTCGATGTCCCCAAAGTTGCTGTCACTGTCGAAGAAAGAAAACGTCAAAATCGATAACGATGAAACAAAACGATGAATCAACACGACAGGTTCGCGCCGCCGAAGAACCAGCGGCGATAAGCGGCAGGGATGGGAGGGGGAGCAAAAGCACCAGGCTACTTGCATCGTGATGCTGAAATGGGAACCTGCGGGAACAAGATGTTTCGGACAAGGGGGCATTGCCGGGAAAACCTACGCCGCACAACTGTCGCGATCCCGCTGTGGGGAAACTGACAACTCTGCACATATAGGATAGGACAGATCAGATTCCTACAGATCGAGCTAGCTCTTTTGAGGGGCATGTCCCTGTTGATTGGTAGGACATAGGCAATCGGGGTATGTTCGCTCCCATGGTGATCTGAAGGACATAGGTGATCGGGGTATGTTTGCTCCCATGGTGATCTGAAGGACATAGGTGATCGGGGTATGTTCGCTTCATGGTGATCTGTAGGACATAGGTGAACTAGCTCACGATGTGTCCTATGTGTGACTCTGGTACTCATTGGTCATGGTTGCCACTGGGATGTTCCCGTTTTCTTTTTCATGAGTGGTACACACCCTGTAAAGGTGAAAATATCTGTAACGTCGGAATTACGGATAATTTTGGGAAAGAGCGGTGGTTCTGTGTGCGTGTGGTCGTCCCATCTATTCTGGCGCCGGTGTATAGGCCCTTCGGCGTATATGCCTGACGTAGCAGTCGGGGTTACACAAGAGGAAGGTCACACAGGAGCTTATTCTATTTTCTTGTTTGTTTTATTGCCCAACCTTTCCCCCTGCGTTGCTTGCCTTAGTTTTTAAAGGAGAGGAAAAAAAAAAGTCAGTGGCAACCCTTCACCCCCCCGCGAAGAGAACACGGAACCCCGACAACAAAAAACGCAAAGATAAAGAATGCAACGCGAAAAGCAGCCAGGAAATCCTTCTGGATACTGTAATCCCGCAACCTCCCGAAGATCCAAAAGAAGAAAAGAAGGGCCTTCGTATGAACATCCTAAAGAAGGTTACTTCGTATGCAACAATGCAGAGCGACACACACAAAACAAAACAAAAAAAGACTCACAGGTAGAAAGCATCGTCCCTCCAGCGGTGCTCCCTCCACCTCTTCAAGTACGCCTCGCACATGGTCTTCCCATGGACCGAAAGGCACGAGTGCGTCATGCCGCTGGTCGTCACCTCCACGACCCCCCTCCCATCCGCCGGGCCCCCGCCCACGCCCGAATGCGCCGCACACTCCGCCGAACCGGCACCACTTGCGCCGCTCCCCTCCCGGTCGTCATCGTAGTCTCTAGAATCAGAAACGCCTCCCCCGGGGGATGTGGGTACGCAGTCCTTTTCTCCCCGGTCGCAGGTAGCCTTAGTCGTAGTCGGCCCAGCAGCAGAAGCAGCAGCACCCCGGCCGCCGTTCTTTGCGAACGGACATCGCGAGGCCCCTCCCTCTGAGGCTCCGACGGGGGGGTGCCCCGGCGGCAGAGCGTTGTCACTGCTGCTAGAGTCTACCGTACATACGTGAGCGTGAACGGAAGGTACATTGTGGTGCATGCATGAGGGAAAGGGGAGGGAGTGTGGTACATGCATGAGCGTGAAGGTGAGGTGGATTTACGGAAGCAAAAGCGGCAGAAGCGGTGGGGGTGTAAGCTGTGAACACGCCACAAATAGCCTCTTGTTTTTGAGACTCGTTCGTGAGAGCAGCACCTGTTCGGCAGGGCAAAGCTAGAGCGCCCCCGCAGCAGCAACAGACCTTGAAACAAGAAAATTCAAAGGACGCGCAAAGGAATCTCGAAGAAAGCTGGAGGAACCGCACTATTCCCCCTCCCCTCCCTCCCAGAGTGGACATAAGTGTTGTTCAGGGTAAACCGCCGCTCTGGTAAGGGTGGTGCAACCGAACAAGATGGGTTGCGCCGCCTCCGCCACAAGGGCGCACGAAGAAAGAAAACTCCACAGAGAAGTCGAAATTGGTCACCAAGCCAGGGGTGCAGTTGTTGCCGTTGTTGTTGTTGTTGTTGTTGTCTTGACATTAAAAACCGTTCCGGTCTCCGCTCAGCACATTCTAATGTTCGTACTGGTCCAACTGACGCGGACACCTTCCTTTCGAGAAAAAGTTTAACAACATCATTATTCGATCTTCATTCTTGCACTTGGGTGAAAGAGTACTCCCCCCCACCCCCCCCTACCTACATGAATGTTTCTTCGTGGGCCTCCACCCGCCGCAACAAAAGTCACCTTTGGTTGGGGGTGGACCACGTCGAAATTGAACCTCAAAATCCAGGGCAATACTATACTGAGAAAATCTGAAAAAAACAGCTCACCCTCGGTTGGAGGCGACGCCTTCCAACCCGACGCCAATTCGGCGTGATGAACGTCCCCGGATAGGATGACCAGCCCGGGGGGATTCGTGCGGTGAAGTAGGTCTAGCAGGCGTTCGCGGCTGCGGGGGAAGTGGCCCCACGACTCCACCAGTGGGTTCGACGTCAACACCTGAGTGGGCGGGGAGATAACCGATTGGTCGATATTGAGCGAATTTGATCGAGAGGAGCATTCTTCCAGCACTTATGTTGTCATTCCCTTCAAAGGTAGCAAGGGTTCATTCGTTCTGCACGTGGGTTGTCATCTCGTTCAAAATCAGCAAGAGGCCAGCTTCATCATCTTGAAAGCCTTCTCGGACATACTCACACAAGTTGTTTCCTTCAGTTTCAGCGGACCCGTTGTGTCAGGTCTAACGAGGCAACAACCCGCACACTTGTGACTTGCCTGAAGGGTGGAGACAAACACGTGGACCGAAGCATCGCTGTCCTCGAGCTGCCCTTCGAGCCAATCCCACTGATCCTCCCCAATCACGGAGCCCCTGTACTCAGACCCTAGGCAAAAACTGCTGCTAAACCATCTGTTTGGGGGGGCGCGCGAAGGGGACTCAACCATTTACGAAACAGTAACCATGGTTGGTGATCATGACAAAAGATAGTTCCCCACAGCAGAGCAGAATGTGCGTTCTCACGATAGAAATGCTTGCTCCTGGGCATAGAAACCATAGAGCTACTAGCGTGTGCATTAATAGAGCGGGATCATGTCCCACCCTAGCAAGCAAGGAGGCGAGAAATTTCCAGCAAAACGTTTCAGGAGAGAAAGGGGGGGAACACCAGTACGGTGCCGCCGCGGCAACAGCAAGCATTGAGTTCACACCGCATTCCCCTGTACACATCAATGGGAGGGACAAGAATGTTGGCGGAGTCTCTACAGGAGGGGATGCAAGGCGACATCATCGAGGCCCGACTTGAGGGCCACGGGTTCGACCGGGTGCCGCTGAGACAGAGAACAGGAGGGGGGGGGGGACTCATTTGTTGCTTGCCGTAGTCATTTGACCATTGACCACGCGTCCCTTTCGAGACGGAGCACCGTTCCTACCCCTACTAGAGACACCACCAACATTTGGGAGCTCTTTACGTTTCTGCCACAAACTCCATAAAAATTTCTTGCACATCTTATCCCCGTCCTCTAGGGCCTCTTGTGCCCACCATCTATCCCCAATTATCGCGATCGTTTTTTCGCTGTTGTCTAATTTACCAAACTTGTCCATGTCACACCCTCTCTGTCTCATTTCCTCCTCGAGATCCTCTCTTTCCTTCCTGTACAACTCACACTCCCCAACTATGTGGGGTCTACTCTCCTCCGATTTGCCACATGGACATGTGTGTCTATCCTCCTCTTCCTCTCTCCTACGGCTGGTATACCTCTTCCTCCGTTCTGGCAAGTCCAGATCGCCTACTCGAAATTGGAATTTCAGCTTTTTCGCATAGTCCATGGGGCCGTCCAAGTACTTGTTCATCCCTATCCCTTCTTTCAACTTCCCGTATATCTCCAAGTGGTCTTCGCTTCGTACCTTCTTCCGAAGGGTTGTCTCCTCCCTACTCTCTAGCATCTCCTTGACTTTCGTCTTGAACCCCCCGAACCCTTCCGTGTCCAACGTCTCCTCCTCGTCTCCTATCTCCTTCCAAACCTTCTCTACCACCTTGTCCCATCTGATTCCCTTCTTTCCTGGAGTCGCTTTTCCCCAAGCTGCCTTGTCAACCATGGCTGGTAGTCTATCGTCCGACAATCTACTTACCTTGTACTGCCAATTCAACTTCTGCATGTCTCTCTTTGTTTTAAGAGAGTACATTCCCAATTCTGCTCTCAATACAGTGTTGCTCGTTGTACTTGAACATCCTAGTATTTTCTTGGCCGCTGCCATCTGCACCGTTTCCAGCTGCTTGACGGCCTTTTCGTTACCTTCCCATATCTCTCCTGCATACTCTAGCTTAGGTACAATCACCTTCAAGAGAATACACCTCTTAATCCTAGTGTCTAGGTGTGGGTCCGTAAGGATCTCGTCCATCTTGCCTATCTGAGCTTTACCCTTCCCAATCAACTTCGCTATGTGTGCGTCCCATGAGCACTCCTTCGAAATCTCTACTCCCAGGTACGTATACTTGTCTACTACCGGTAGTTCTTCCTCCCCCCATTTCCATTTGAATTCTACGGGATTTTTCTTATCTTCGTTACAGACCACTACTGCGCATTTTCCTACGTTCGCCGACAGTCTCCATTTTCGGGTGTATCCTACCGCCGCATCTATTTGTTCTTGCAACCCTTCTGGTGTTTCGGATACCC